TTTTTTTTTTTTTTTTTTTTTCTTTTCCTTTTTCTTTAATCTTTCTTTTTTTTTTTTTTTTTTTTTTTTTTTTTTTCTTTTTTTCGATATAAATACGTGTACAGATGGTTGCAAAGATGTCTCCGTGGTTGCGTGCAATTGGGCGTCTCTTTTCTTTTTCTGTTTTCCTCCTTTTTGCGAAAGAATTTTTCCCGCGCTTTTGGAAACTAGAACTGCGGACCACTGTGAGGTTGTTTGAAATATTTTTCTCAAAGAAATAATTTTTGAGGTACGTGACGTTTTTTTTTTTTCTTTTGTAATTTGGGAGGCGATGGATAGCAAATAGCAGAATTGTGAAGGAAAGTGATGATGATGATCTATATGAATTGATTTATCACACGAAACAATCGATCCCCTTTTTCGAATTGTAGAAAAGATTCTTTTTTATCAATTATTAATAACAGAGTTTATTTTCCTCTGTCTTCTTGTAAAGAAGACACGACTGAAATTATATAACAAATATAAATAGAAGCACAAATATAATTGAAAGTTGCGGTGCAACATCAAATTGAAATGATCTTTTGACCACGTAATTTTGCTATTTTGTCCTTCTACGCCAATCCGTTTTTCAAATTATTATTCCAAATTCTGAAAAAAGAAAGGTGGGGGGGGAGGATTAAAAATAGGAGTAAAAGAAAATCTGATCTGAATATATTTAAGAGAAAAATCGCGCGAATATTTCTGCACGTCAAACAATCCGCAGAGAGACCTTTCCAACGCACTGCACGCTCGTCGTTCGTTCGTTTCGTTTCAAAATTTTGACGTTCGACCAAATTCGATTTACTTTCCGATCGGGAACGTCAGTTTGGTGTGGTGACTTCCATTATCAAGAGCCCGAGCCCTTTGCACTTCATAAATTTTTACGAACCTCGCCCCGTTACGAGAGCATCAGCTTCCGTGATTTTTTTACGAATGTTCGCGAGTTACAAGTTTCTCAAGTCTCGAGCTCGATCCAAAAGCAGGGTTAAGAAACATCACGTTGGAATTACGCAAGCGTTGATAACCCTTGCCCCGAATAGAAAAACCTAGCAGGGAAAATCTTTTCCCTCGGGTTGGAATTTTTCCGATTCTTGGAATTCAACGCTGTCCAAGAAGAC